ATTGGATGTTTCATCTGAAAAAATGATCGATGAAGGGTGGATGAGTGTTAATTGAGACGATATTCTGTTTCGAGTTTTTAGTTACTTTTGTAGAGAAAAATAAATCAGGGTTAATAGAATATATATTTTATTGAACGTGAAATCACGATTCGCGCGAGCTCTTCGAAAAGCGAAAGCATGCAGAAATAAGGAAATCATTATCTAATTATCATATGAAGCGCACAGAATAGAGGCTAAAATGCTTGAACCAGTGCACGATTTCCTTTTGATTGAATAATGATCATGCGTGAAGATCGGTGTGGTTAAAAGTCGGTAAGTAAACGACCAGGATCTCTTCCTAGAAATTTTAAAAAAAAGAAAAGAAACTAAGAAAAATCATAACTCTCCAATTATTTATTATTCTCACAATTATTCCAAATAAGTTCGAGATTTTATTTCCCCCTCTCTCTCAAAATTTAATAAATTGTTTGATTAAAAATTAAATTCTCTTTAATCAATTACCCTTCCAATGTTTCAATCACTTTGATATTGATAAAAATCCAATATTAAAGGGGAAGATATTGATAAGAAATATTTTAAAATATTTAAAAAAAAAAAAAAAGAAAAATCAAGACTTATTAAATATTTTACGTAAACTTTCCAAGGGTTGTCGTTAATCGACACAGAAAAATATCAACGATCATAAAAAATAAAATTATTAACCCTGTTATCATCGAGCTAAAAATATTTTCTACCTCGTGATAAGCACCATTGACACGATTAAGAGCACCGAATTTAACTCCATCACGCAAGATGAGGCTATTAATCCGCATGTAGGATAATTTTGCATAATTGAGATAAAAATCGATGAAAAGAATCGATTAAAAAGAAGAGGTATACAGTTTTTGTTGTCTTGTCAGGGGTTAAATTGTCAATGCGTACAAATTGGATAGCGTAATTTTCTAAACATGATTGAAAAGTATATCTTGCATACCAATTGCTGTTTGCGCTATCAGTTACGATTAGTTGATTATCAAATCAACTGCAAGTCTGTCTCTAAAGTCAGTAACACAACTTGTTCGATTATTTTAACGCTTAAATGTTGTTGTTGTGTGTTTTCGTTAAATCGAACAATTAGTTTTAATTTAAATTCGATTAAGAAGAAAATTATATCGAAAGAATTGTAAATTTTGGAAGAAAGGGTTAAGGAAGGGTTAAGTCTTCTCTTTAATCAAATTTCGTGTATGTGGAAATTTATTGAAAAAATTTGGAATAATTAGAAACATGATATAATGTATAAATATTTAAGGGATGAATATTAATTTTAACTCACCTTATCGCGCCACAAATAAAGATTGTTTTTTCCTTAAAAAATTCTGACTACTGCGTTTGCTGATTTCCTTCGGTGGTCGCTGATTTCTCCTGTAAAACGTAAAAATTCATTCTATCTTTTTAATACAAATGATTGAATTTAATTAGATAGTAAGATGTAAATTGGGGAAATTTAAATTTACTCTTCAGCTAATTATTTATTATTCCTGGTCGACTTGCAGCAAGTAACTTTGCACTTGCTATTCAGATTAAGCACAATTAAAACTTCCTTCTGGAGTGTTAAATTTCAAACTTCCTCCAGCTTACGAAAAAGATCACTCATCGCACAATTCATTATCCATTCGATAACCAAATCTTTATAATTGCTCGTTCGATCGTTCAAATTAAGAAGATATCATCTACACCTCGTCCATCATATTTCCTTCGTATTCCAAATTTCACTTTATTTTTAACAATTATTTCCAGCAACTTATATTCTTTCATTTAAAAAAAAAAGCGTGTAATATAAAATGTCCTAAAAAGAATTTTTTTCTCTTCCAGATAGAAGTACGTATTTTTAAGATTGAATTAATCGAAATAGGTAATTGCGAGTAGCAATTGAAAGAGAGGGATAAATGGCGTCACCTTTGATTACTTAAGCAACGCCCTCGCATCAAATGCTGTGCAAAGCAGCTTAAGTATAGTAATCGATCTCCTAATTCTTACTTCCTCGGAACGCTTTAGGGGAACATGACGGCTCGTGAACGCTCACCATCGAAACAATGTCACTTGGAATATATTTACGCGTCTAATTTTAGATGTAGAAACAATTTTCTGACCTCCCTTTTCTGAATGATCCACCCCATAACCATCTGATGATCCTCGCTTGAAATTGAAAAATTCTTGAATTAAAAAAAATGGGAAAGGATTTGTAAGTGATTTATATTCGAGGATATCGATAAATTTGAGTTTATTTGGAATGAAGGATAGGATAGGAGAAAAGAAAATTTTCTAATGAAGTTTGAATGTGGTTAAATTGTAATAGATAAGTGTGGATGATTCTTTTATTATTGATAAAAAAAAAGAGAGAGAAGCGATCGAAGAATCGAATTAATTAATAGATAATGGAAAATAATAAATAAGAGAAAATAATGATAATTTTTGGAAATCAATGATGATGTTTCCTCGACGTTTTCAACGAGATTTCTATCGAATGATCCCTATTTTTCGTCGCAAATATAGTAAAGTAAGGGTTATTAAGATTGATGATGAGAGAAGCGTTATGCAATAGTTGAACCGTTTGTTCGTTCCAATTGGCGTAACATCGTATTGACTACCGATTATCTTTCTTGGAATAATCGATTAAAATAATCGTATCATGGTTAAGATGAAATTAAAGTGAAATTTTTAAAAGATCACGATTATTTGTAAAATGGAAATTCATTTTTTAAAGGAAGAAATAAACAATTTTTCATTCACACAGCATGATTTAAATAAAAAACAGATCAAAATTATGAAGAAGCGGCAATCGTGGCAATTTTTAATAGTGAATTTTAAAATGAAAGAGGTTAAATACAATTTTGAATAAGAATAAAGAATTTCATTTTATTTTTTCACAAATGAATTAAAATAATTTATCGAAAATGAATAGAAATAGAAAATAGAAAAATAAATGGTAATAGTTGTATCAACATTAAAAAAAAAGAAAAGAAAAACGAGATTATAAAAGATGATATTAACACAACGGAAGAATTTTAATAATTATTTTTTTATTTATTATCAATCGTGAATTAAGATAAAAATTGCAACAACTTTAATACAATTTCATATTTCACGTTCATCAATTACCGTTTATAGCGTTTTTATTGGGGTGCTAATACAATCTATATATTCGTACACGTACACATTCTACTCTAATTCTCTGTAATCGTACGATGTTACCGATACACCATTCTATTTAAGATTCAATTTAATATCATCATCATCAGAGTTTTTTTTTCTCTCTCTGACTCTTTGTGTATTACTAGTTTAATTCTTCGTGTCAATTTTCAATACGATCAATCTGTTATAATTGAATTTAAAAAAAAAATTCGTTACACCTCTGAGAAAAAAGAAGAAGAAGAATTTCACCAATTTAATAATCAAATCTTCTCAAAATAATGTTATTCTTAATTTCGTAAAATTTCAGAGAACCCTTTTTTCTTTCAAAATTTGACGTTTACATTGCCAAGCTTTCTTATCAAAATTCGTGCAATTACGTAAAAATAAACAAATTACAATTATCTTCCAAATTGAAAGATCATTCATCGATTTTTTCTTTCCGTAATACGTAAATTTATCGGTATTTATAAACACATTATAAGTCATCGATTAATCACACCAATTAATCCAATAATTAAACACAAATTTCACTTACTTTCCAAACTTTTTAAAAAAAAAAAATTAAATACATCCTCTATCAATGAGATTAATTAACTTCAATGAAACGAAAATCAAAAATCACGCAAAATTCAAGAACATTTTTTCCAATCGAAACAAATTCTTCCACAACTCTTCAGCAACAATAAGAAGTATATTTATCGAACAGTAAGAACGAAGAAGAAATTATTTGAAGTAGAGGACTAATGAAATACGATTCAATTCTAGACTCACCAGATGAAACACATCCGCAGCGAGGGAAAGCGAAAAATGTGTGGATCCAGTCGGATAACCACTTGCACCGTGGTCCTCCTTAAAGTGGACGGGCCAGAGGATGTCTAGCGACTGCTAAATCGCGGAACATTTCAATTTCCAACGCGACTTGGACATCACGTGACACAAGTTGGAAACTACGCCTCTGGCATGGGGACAGAAGGGATTCAGAAGCGACGAGGATGGGGCGCCAGTTCGCCCGTTGCTCCGGAACAGGCAGCAATATTTTCATAGAATATTTTCTTTTTTTTTTTTTTCGTGGAAGAATATTTTTTGGTTCTTATCTGAGATTTATCAAAGGATCGGTGAAGTTTGATGAGATAAGAAGAAAAGTTATTTTTTAAGATGGAGGAGAATATACTTTGGAAATTGGAAATTGGAATTCAAGGTGAAGTTTGAGGTTTGGAGATTTGTTTGAAATTATTTGGTGGAGATTAAGGTGAAGTTGGGGAATATTTGGATACTTTTGAAGATTTGAATATGGTATGGGATGAAGTTTAGATAATTTGAAGATTTGAATTCGGTGTGGAATGGATTTTGGATCCATTTTGGAATTTGAGATTTTAAATTGTATTTTTGATTTGGTGTTGAAAGCTTGAATTTTAAGAAATTTGGATTTCTGTATTTGAAAATTGAGATTTTTGTAATACTAAAATTTAGAAAATAGATTTAAGCTTTGATAATTTGCTCCTATACTTTGAACTTTAAATTTCAAAGTCTTTCTTCATTTTAATGATTCAAATCTTCTTTATTAAAAATGAGATTAATTAATTTCAATTAAAACAATCAATAGTCACAAAGAAACATGATTTATCCTTCAAGGATTTTCAAGGATGTTTATAAAAGAAGATGTGCACAGATTTGGCGATGAGAATCATATAAATATCTATTAACCGTCAACTTTGGTAGAGAACGTATCGATTGACCCACAAAGGGGATCACAATCATGCGAACGCCGAACAGAAATTATAAAGATTGCCATTTATTAAAGGTAACAAGCCCGTTGAAAGACACTTTATATCCCAATATTACTTGCTATTTTTTATAATTTATTTAATTAAATTAAATTAATAACTAAGTTAATCCAAAGTACTATAATTATTTCTGATTTGGACAAGTTAATAATAATTAACATTTAAATATTTCATTTCATATCAATGAATATCAATAATCTTTCTATCCATTAAAATATAAAAAATATAAGAATTATAAAATTATATTTTATAATTATAATCAGGATGTGATCAGTATAATCTAAATTATAATCAGCTATGATTTAATGATAGAAATTATAATAGGAGTTACTAAAATTTCATAATTTTAAAGAAGTGAAAGATAACCGTGTAAGAATGACATTAATATTATCAATAAATTTGATGATGAATAAAAAAAAAATAGCAGGTTTCTTTTTCTTTGATATATACGTTATATTATAATGGTATGAATCTGTCATTGTCACAATTATTTGCGTGGACAAACGATAAATAAATCAGGCATAGTGTGATGCATGAAGAGAATATATCGATCGTCAAGGATGTATATATGCTAGAAATATTATCGGTCACTTAGCTCGTTCTGATCTTTTTTTGGATTATTAATAATTATTATTTCAATGTTTCTTAAAGCAATAAAAATTTCCATAAAAGAGATCTGCTAAATATATATTTATTCATTCATTCATTCGTTTATTCAGAGTGAAATAGAATATATTAAATAAAGGATAATCAAAGTAATAATTAATTTTTTTATTTACCAAATAATTTTTGAACGTTGCATTAAAAGTATAGAAAATATCTGAAATATTCACTTCAACATTTAATGAGTGAGATAAAAATACTGAAAGGAAAAATAAATAAATAAATTTTATAAAAATTTTTATTGCTTTAAGATTCATAATAAAATATTCTTTTGACATATCTTCTAAAAGATTATTTTCTTTAATCTAAAAGATTAAAACAAGTAAAGATTAAAATGTGAAAAAAAGATTTACCTTTCTTTTTTTTTTTTAATATCACTAAGTAGAATACTAGAACACAACAAGTTTCCAAGAATACTTACTGTTCACCTTCTTGAGATATGAAAGAAGAAAGACTGAGTCTCACAATTGACTAGATAAAAGGAAATGAGTAAACAATTTTCAACGACACGAGATTCAAAGAAAGTACTCAATGTGCACCACTTCTGCACCATTGACAACCCTTATATATAGGTACGCGTTATATAATCAACTACGTCTGATTATAAATCAAAAAATAAATCTCATATTCGAAACACATTGAGATTCTAGAAATATTCTTATTGGAAAAAAAAAAA